GTCGACGTAGATTGTGTAGCACTCGACGTCAGCGATGCGACAGTAGTCATCGCCAGAGCCACTGAGTGTGCGAATCCTGCCGGGCTTCTGGGGAGCGGCAGGGGAGCGGCATCGGCGTAAGCACGCTGGAACTGGCGCGCGAGGGTCGTTTGCCTGGCGATGGAGGGCGCGTGAGGCCTCGAGGTCGGGACGAACTTGAGAGTCCTCTGTGATGACGTCGCGAAAGCCCTTGGGGTCGCAACCGACGAAGCCGAAATCGACGAGGCTCGGGGAGCGAACTGGACAGGACGCAGCGCACTCATGGCGCGGGAGGAAGAAGCCATGGCTTCAATTGGCAAAGGGGAACGTCAGTCCCGTCGTTGGAAGGGAGGTTAACGATGAGGTGGGAGAAAAAAATATGTCCTAAGGAGAGGCGCCACAAGAAGAGGGAATTTAGGGTCACTGGACCCAAGGATAAGGCAAGGCAAGGCAGGTAAGGTAAGCTACCTCAAGGTAGGGTGGCCCAGTTAGTGTGACGCCGGGACAGAACCGAATCCTGACTGGACCGGGAGTGCTGGGCAGACAACGTGCTCCAGCAGCGCGGATGATTCTTGGTGACTCTTGCCAGCGCCGTCTTTCACTGTGACGCAGTGATTGGTAGCGCTTGAGACAGGGTCAGGGAAAGGGCCAGGCCGTGGAATTTACAGCTGACGGACCGCCGCGCATGCTTGGCGTGCGCCCTGTTCTTCGCTCTTAATTTTCGCTGTTTAAAATTTTGCTGCAGGGAAGATGCAGCGCGATCGCGGAAGAGCAGGAGCTTTGACCACCGGGCCGGCATTTTCAGCAAGGCTGTACCTGCCACTACGAATGAGCCGGTAGACCGCAACTAAACAAACATGCCACTAGCATTGACCCGGACCAAGGGGAGCGGCAGCGTGTCGTCGCCGAACAGTTGCTGGTTCCATCCATCCCATCTTGGTTCCTACCTATGCAATGCAGGTGCGAAGAAGTAGTAGGAGCAGGTGAGCGTAGGCAAGTGCTACGCCGCAGAGGAGCTCTGGTGGATCCTACTGCCCTGCGTGCCCGCAAGTGTGCCTGCCGCATGACTGGAGCGCTTGCTCTCGCCACTGAGTTTGCATATTCGGTATCAATGCCGGCAATATATCGGATAAATACGGTCTGGGTCCACCACCTGGGTTCCGAGCCAAGTCCGAGGTCCCTTCTCACATGGAGTGGTTGGTTGTTCACTGACAATGATTTGGGTTCGCGATGGCCCTACATTGCTCACAGCTCATCTCCATCTACCTTATCCATCAATGACCACATCCCTTCCGCCGTTGTGTGAGTCTTGTTCCCCACACCCGACGTTACGGCTGAGATCGATCCATTACGTACTTCCCGCAGTTCCCCAATACCACAACTTACAAACGACCTACCCGACCCTCGCCGAGCCCACACCAGATAAGGTTGCTCACGCGGAATGGTGTGCCGGGAATGGCCTCCGCGTCGCGAGATCACCCGGTCCCGTCCCCCGCAGATCCCACCTGCTGTGCGAAGGTGTCGCGG